GCAAGTAATATTGTATGACGGACATGGAGGAGGAAAATATCATCACAAAAGCAGCAGTAGCACTTGATACCTGCATTTATACTAGCTGTGTGAGTCCCTCTTTGAGAAATTACCAACTCTTTGATTTAGGAAGTCAAAGATACTACTTTCTCTTCAATCAGAGGGAACTAAAGGAATTAAAAAAGATGAAATGCACCTGAGGAGGAATCCCTAGCTCCAGAAACAATGGACCCAAAATGAATCCACCGCCAAGACCTAGTAGGCCACCAACTATACCAGCCAAAATGCCGCAGCAACAGTAAAGAATCAACTGATGCACTTTCCATGAGATTAATGCTTCTCCACTCGAAAGAATCATCCTTGATCCCTTGTACAAACAAACAGCTTCATATGCAGAAGCTCCAACAGCGATGGGGAGCTGAAATGTAGGATAAACAGAAATTTTAACTTTGTTAGTCAAAATTCTCTTTTTAAGTGAAGATTTGGCTCATTCGACACGACCAGAAAGCAGGGGTCAGTTACAAATTATCAATTTATAACCACATAAGCTTAGATCACATAACTTATAATTTAATTCTTCTCTGTCGAGTGACATTGATAAGATGATGGGATTTGCATGTGAATGAGAAGGAGGGGCGAATTACTTACTCTGAGAAACAGTTCCGTTTACATCTAAATAACAATTAACTACCTGCAAGAGGCTTAAGGTCCAATATGCCGTGGAGCAAGTTGGGGCATAATTCTGTATATAAGAAAGGCTCTCCAAATCAGTAAGGTAATATTGCATGAAAGCACAGAATGTAATCATCAACATGTAAAAGTAACAAAACCATGAACCTTGGAGACATGTAGAAATAGGATTATGATCCAGACAGCAATAAGTCTGGCAGTATCCTTCCAGTACATATTGTCAAATATTGAGACCTGGAGTAGCTCAAGAAATCAGCATTGAAGAAATGTCTCATCCAAATTCAGGAAAAAATATAAACTAGGATATTGTTTATAAGGAGTAGAGTAGATTGCGATGGACAGAAAAGTTTAGTGTGTGAAATAATTTGTGACACGGAGAGTATTAAGTACCTCCTTTTTATAAACCTCATTTGAAAAAGTAGAATCATTTTTTGGACCTCCAGGTATAAGCTTGTACGCAACTTCTTCAACACCAGCATCTGATTTCAGTTTTAGAATATTACACAGATTTTCAAATATCCCTGTTGAGGTGTAGAAGATAGAGAATATCGGCACTCACCATTAGATGTCAAGCACCTAGCTGCTTCCTGGACACGAAAGAAATATAGATGTATTACGAGTATATACTAAAAGACATTCTTGTCTTGTTCTCTACAATCACAGAAAGGACCAAGAGACAACCTTTTTAATAATAGTTTCTTTCCTCCATGTCTCGACGCCCTTGAAGAATGCCTTGGTTGATGCAGCTAAGAGTCCCACAACCAATCAGAATACATACTGACAAAACAGACAAAATTGTAGCTGAAAATAGCAGTTACCTAAGAAAAGAATGATCAATAAGATTGTAACCATCCACTCAGCAAAAAGTACGTTTAGTACAACACCAACACTGATCCCCAATAACAACATTGGTTGGAAAAGAAGAGCTAGATCATAATCAATGATGGGCAGGTCAAGTGATGGATGCCTCAGCTTAAGACAGTAGTAGACAGTTGCACACGCTGCACCAGTGATCATACCTTCGAGAAAAGCAAAGAATGGCGTAAAGCATGGAGATAATGATGTTGCAAAATGTGTTTATTCTAGGAAATACATAAGGATAAAGGAAATTTTGGGAGTCCTCTCAGAAGGCCACAACAAAGACTCGAGCTACTTAAAGACACAATATTTGCAAGCACTTAGGAGTATATCAAACGAGAAGTTTGACCACTTAAAATCAAGTTTCAAATACAAATGTGTGTGAAACTAATAAGATTATAAATGAACTCTTACATTTTGATATTGCAGTTGATGTTTTTGGATCAAATCCAATAATCAAAGTAAGCACGGGGACAAAGATACCCCCTCCCCCGACACCTCCTACACTCCCAAAAGCAGCACCAAAGAATCCAATTACTGAACCAACAATCAGCCTCCACCCAAATTCCGGTTCCTGCATTGCGTAAAACTCTTCATTGACAACATCCACTTCATTACATCAACATCTTGCCCAAAACTCAAACAGCCAAAAAAAAAAAAATAACAACTTTTAAGCCAGTCAATCATCACAGAGGTGGTGCCACTTATGCATTATTGGTTCAACTAAACCCATTTCCGACACAAAACATGGATGTATATGCAAAAAATCTCGTAAGAGTTTAATAAGTACTCCTTTTAGTTTTGAATTGCACCCAATGGTGTGGTCTAGTGGTCAATGAGGTGCGTCGAGAACAATGAGGTACCTGGTTCAAACTAGCCTTGGTGGATAGAGATACCTGAACATGATGCTTGTGGGAGTTGGCAGTTAGCTCGTCGAATTAGTCAAAGGTAAAAAAAGAAATTGAAGCCATAATTTGAGAACTACAATAAGTAAGGTGCTAAAAAACTTTAAAATTCGAACTTTTCATGTTTAAACTTTGGATCCATCTATGAATCATCAAATCAGCTATCATTTGATATCATAAATATGCCATAAATAGTAAAAAACTGTTGTATAGGTAAGAATTTGAACTTACAGGCCAAACATGGTGGTAATTAATCTCACTCTTTCTCCAAAGAATATTGAACAGATCAAATAAGTAACTTGACTCATAGCTATGAGTTGTTCCATTGTTGCTCAAAGTGGTCTCATATGGAACTTGCTTCCCAGACACAACAATAGCTAAAGCTAGAAAAACCAAACCACTCACAGCAACTGTAAATTTTCTCAAACCCTCCAATTTAAATCCAGTTTTAGCCATCAATTTCTGAGTCCCCACCTTTTCACTCTTCTAAGATAGACAATAATAAATATTGATCAAGACAGAAACCTGGAAAATAAGCTCAAATTGGAAACAAGAATTACAAAAGTAAATACAAAAAAAAAAAAAAGCAACTTTATGAGTTGAGAGTTGAAAAGATTAATATAGAGGAGATAGGTATTCGCAAGTCGCACAACAACTGAAGGTACACTTTTGCTATTTGAAAACGTTTGAAATCAGCTTGCTTCAGCTCTTTAATGGCATTTTTGACTCTGCCTTTCATTATTTTTCTCGCACTTGACTTGACCATAGTTGTCTTTCATTGTTAACAGCTGATGACTGTCACGCCAAGTTAAATGCTAGAAGTTGAAATTGACTCCTTTCTTTTATCTCGCGAGTCAGAAAGAAATTTTATGAACGATAATTTAATACGAAGGAATAAGGTTAGCTATACAAATTTAATTATTCATTATGATACTATAAATAATGAAATAAATAAGCTTTAAACTAATTAAATCTTTATTCCATGTATTAAATGACACTTAAGAAAACTCTCGAATAAATAAAAAGCTAGTTAAATTTAATATCTACTTACAAATATTATAAAATTATTAGTTTTAGTCTTATACGAAAAGTAAAAGAAATTTGAATATACTTTTTGTATCCTACCTTTATCTCCCTCTTTTTCTCTCGGCGTTTTCCTCAAAAGTTCTTTTTACTATTAATTATCTTTTGATTGATACAGACATAAACTTATATGTAGAAATTCATCATACACTCACATAATTGAGTTTATTGTTATCATTTAGAACCTGACATAGTAATAGTACTCTAATAATTTTGAACGTAGATGTAGGGTTGGGTTAGCAATGATTTAGGTATATGTTAGATAAGAAGATGTGACATAGTGTAGCAATAAAAAGTCATTCCTTGTACATTTATGTAATGTCATCACTAATTACTACTCCCATTAACTCTTTGTATCTGTAATGTTGCTCAGTTGTAGTAATACACATTTGGAGGGGGAAAAAAAGTTAAAAAATTCAACAGTACATTAGATAGTAAAGAATTTTGAATTATTAGATTAGAGTTTATAAAGTTGGGAATCGGGGCATAGGTCACTGTTATACGTTTACGTTGTGATATAAAGTCAACAATTTGCATCAGTTAAATCCAACTCGACAAGATTCATATGGCCCATCTTCACTATTTAATTTCCATGTGTGACTTGATATCTTACTTGTGTGGTTGCAACACATATGAATGAGTCGCTATAATTAATTTAATAAAATAACGTGTTCCATCATTTTCCTACTTCATTGGACAAACAAGAATTGACACTGACTATCGTAGATTGATAATCAGAGTAACCTTAGCTTAATTCTTTTGTTATTGAAAAGATGCATATGTATGTTACAATTGCCACAGTATACATAAATTCGTGCTAGGGGGTCAAGATTATGTTTACTTCTCATTTATGATATCTGTCTTAGTTTTCATTTATGATGATGTTTACATTGTGTTGTGTGAGTTCCAGGACGGTTGACAAGCCAGTTCGATCGGTAAAAAAGAGATGATATCAATGCAGGAGGCTCGTAGACGCTACACAATAACAAGTTCGATCTCTTTTTTCTACATGAACTTTTTCTTATCTAAATCTTTTTAACTAGTTTACTAAAAATCTCTTTAATGTGATAAAATTTGGTCTACCAGTCGAGACCAATTTAAACATAGATAATACCACATTTTTTATTAAAATGGGCTAAATATTTATAGTACAAATGGGTATATTCGTTTAAATATAATGATAGTACTGTTAAATTCATCAATAAGATCTCCTTTAATTGACCAATTTGATGTGGTGTGATAGTTTTGCCTACTAGTGAACATTAAAGAGTCACATGTTACAAACCCAACAAACTGAATCATGGCATCTGACCTTTACTCCAAATTCAGTTTATAGAAACGACTTCTTTTATTTAATGCCAAACTTTAATGTCTCAGCTGCCACATCTATCTATAGTGGAAATAAATTCGATGATTTGTAAATTGAAAAGAAAAAAAAATGATATTTCTGAATATCTTAAGGTGTAAAAATCAAAATATCTTTGAAAAAAGAACATAGAACTAAAAATCTGACTACACCAATCACATCAGTTAAACTTCAAATAGACAATGTTTTAGTACTCGTACAATAATAATTCAAAGAAATTTACAAGATATGCAGCAAAACTAGAATTGCTCATACAAAACCTTCAACCAGAGTTGGCTTCTCACTTTCTTCCTCTTCCTTTTTCTTAATTTTTCCCCCTTTGTCTCCAATCTCCAAACCCTGCAGCCCATCCACACAAGATTGACCTCCTTCCGGAAGAGACGATCCACCCACCAAGTCACCGCCCTCTTCCGGATCCTTATTGTCAGCCACCACGTCGCTCGTTACTTCCGGCACTTCACCGCCGCCGCCCTTCTCCGTAACACATTTTCCGGGAATGTTGTCAATACCCTCCGTCATTCCTACAAGAGCATCCTTAGTAGAATCCTCGATTGGCGAAGGAGTTTTCACACACTGGCCTTCGAATTCGTCATCCGTTAGCGGAATCATAGATCGTACGGCGGTGGCAGCTTTGAAAAATGCCTCTTTGATTAATTCCGGTGGTAGAGCACAATCTTCGAGACCTGCATCTTCGAGAAGCGGTGGTCGGATTTTGTCGAGCAAACTTTCCGATTCCTTTGTTAACTCCATTGTTCAGCTAATAATAATAATTCACTAGAGGAAAAAGCCTTGATTTGGAAACCCTAAATAGAATCGGTTGTGATTTGTGAGGTAAACGAAACGTGGACATTTGTATTTAGCGAATTTCAAACCGACATTATTATGTCGGTTTAGAGTCCGAGAAAGACCCGAATATCTCGTGAAACCCGCAGCCTGAATAGAAGTAATATTTCGATGAAAAGATATTGAGGACACAGTTCGACTTGTCACCCTTAAGAGTATAATTATTAGCTTTCGCATAATATGGGATTATTTCAATTACAATAAAGTTTGCTTATTTGTGATTAGCTAAGAAATACCTTTGGGGGTCTAACATTTGTCTAAAATGATTAGTTTTAGGCCTTTGGCAACTCCACTTTTTTACTTTTAGTTAAGAATAGTTTGTGTCTAGAAAGTTCATGGATAACGTTTACAAAATTATTGATTGGAATAACGTCTCAAAGACAGGATTAGTGATTAACAATTATGAATGCTACTTTTTGTACTTCTCGTAACAAATTAGTTTTCTATGTGTTTATCATCAACACTTTGCTGAACAAACTTTTATAGATCAGATAAATCATGTAAGACTCTTATAAAACAACACATCACATCACTTCTCCTAACAAATTAATTTTCTATGCGTTTATCATCAATACTTTCCTGAACAGACTTTTTTAGACAAGGTAAATTATTTAAGACTTTTACAGAACAACGCATTACTCCAGAAAGAACAAAAGGCTTATCATTTCTCAATATAAGCAAAAATTGTTGAAGTTGGGTAAGCTTCATGACTTTGGAAACTACTAGTGTTCGTTTGGGTAGCCAGAAAGACAAAAGGACAAAACGTCAGAGTTCAAAAGCTAATTTACAGCCCATTCATACAGCATACAGTCTAATATGAGCGAGTAAAAAATGAGTCGAGTGAAAACAGGTCAAGTGTATGGATCATGAATAGTACATTATCATGAATCATTATAGAGTCTGAAACATCAATAAGTATCCATGGAGGAAAAAAAAATTAAGGTGCAACATCATAATTACACTTCCCAAGAGAAGAATCCGGAATCTAAAATCAAATACAGAGAGTTTAACTGTCTTGTAGTAAATAAATCATTAGATCATCTTCAACATTCACATCCTGTTGATCTTGGTTGATTTCCTCCAGCAACATCAATAGTATCGGGAAGATATCTACAAGGTTAAGATGAAGAGGAGCAATTAACATCAACAAAAATCTTTAAGGGGATCCTAAATGTTGACATAAAAAAAGATTGGCAATTTCATTGTGCCTCTCAAATGATTTTTGAACTTTTTAGTTTTAAATTATAAAGGCATGGTAAGGTATTTCAAACTTCACAACTAATTTCGTCAAATTACCCTCTGAATGTGAAATAGAACAATCAAATCGGAACAGCAGAAATAATTTTCAAGGTCGTTGATTTAACTTATCTTCATCAAAATCTACCTATCAAGATCAAGGCTAATTAGTTTTCTGAAATCATCCCTCGCCTAGAAGATGGTTTTTTCATGAGTAAGACATTGACTGACTCCTTCAAAATAGTTCTTCACACACTTCTACTTCTAAGACAACAAGCTATTTCTCTTTTTCCCAGCCATAAGCACAGGCCTTTAGGAACCAACTAAGGTTCAAAATAAAGATACTATCCTGTTTGGAAGAGGTACTCACATTTCTTCTTCAGGTTCATTTTTCAGAGCATTTTTAGCTATACACTGGAATGCAGCATCCACATTGAATCCCTCTTTTGCAGAGGTCTCAAAGTAGGGTATCCCCTTGGAGGCACACCATGCCTTGGCTTTCTTCTCAGACACCTGCAATCCACAGAAACCAATCTTATGAAACCAATGATCTCATTTTCATCCATCCAAAGAAACCAAATTCAGTAAAAGAATTACTGATGTGAGGAAGAATAATCCAGAGAGATTAATTTACCACTCGACTATTGCCACCATCAACATCTATCTTATTCCCCAATACAACAAATGGGAAGTTCTCAGGATCAGATGGGCTGGCCTGAACATTAAGGAAAAAAACTTCAGAAATCACTTCTACACATCAAAGCTTGCAAGCAAATTACAAATTTATAACTCTATACTACCTGGATCAGAAATTCTTCTCTCCAGTTGTTAAGGTTCTCAAATGACTTCATGACATTCACATCATACACTAGAACACAACAATCTGCTCCACGGTAGAAAGCCACGCCAAGGCTTTGGAACCTTTCCTGCCCAGCTGTATCCCATATCTAAGGCAAACACAATAAGTCCAGTAGATTATAAGTAATTAGGTCAAGCAACTCTGGAAAAGTATCCAGGATTTCTAGCCATATCCTAAAGCACAATATTCCAACATGTTACAGGCAATAAATTCAAATTAACCTAATAACATGAAGTTAGAATGCTAGCTTCCATTATATTTGAAGAAATCATTAATTGGAGACAGCTATAATTTCCACTAGACTACAAGAGAAAGAGAAACATTTTTTGAGAAAGCTAAAAGGAGTATAGGACTGCAAGAAAATTATATCGGCTTTGACGAATATGTGCATTAAACTTGTCTACGGTTGCAGCTTGCAGATCAAATACACAGCTAGATTTCAGACTCACCTATGATATTAGATGCGGTAAAAAGACAAATAGGTGCACCAAGAACAGTAGGTTGGTTTTATTTTTGAACTAATGCATCTATCTCAACTCAATGATTTTATAGCAAAGCCTCTGCTACTGGTGTAATATGTATGTGAAGAGAAATGTGGGATAAAATAAATAAAAGAAATCAAGAGTAGTCTACACTGTATATGATGGTAGTGTCATAGAAAAGATGTTATAAGAACCCCACCTATTCATATGCCAGTTTATTAGCACATTAGCTAGCCAACAGCCTCCAAAATCCTGTTATGACTTATGAGATTAAAAGTTCTACTCAATTTTTGAGGCATTTCATTCTAAGTCTATAACTCCCCAATTCAGGTTGAGGATAAAGTAGAAGAGCTTTTACCATCTCCTGGAAACAGTTTACAAGTCCTGAAATACGAAACTAAGAAAGGCAAATTGTAGAATTTGGACTTAAGAAGTTATGGAAAATGTGGCAAGGAGATCCAAGGATATTTGAATCAAACCCGTAAAATAAAATTATCAAACATTGTGTATGCAAACAACAATATCCAATAACAATAATAACTACACCCCGTTTAGAAGTAAGAAACTACAGAAAATGTGGCAAGAACATCTAAGGATATCAAATCAAACTCGTCAAATAAAATTAGTGGACATCGTATATGCAAACAACAATATCCTATAAAAATTATAACTACCCCCAAATCTCAAACAAGTTGGACATCTACAGACTGTTGCACCTGTAGGTCAATGCATGGCATGATCAAACCATCTCAAACAACTTTCTCTCATTTCATCCACAATAACAGTATCCTATGAGCAATAGATCATATAATCGATTATTACAGAAAAGTCTAAGGTGGGTTTAAATGGAGCAACATGGTCAATGAGGATTCATATAACCACAACTTTCTTGGGATTTAAGCATACTTGTTTTCTTTTTCTTACACAAAACGGATATTTAACTGGCAAGCAAAAAGATACTCTGTAGCAAACTACTTCTTAGAAGTAAAAAGCTTACTAAGAAGAACCTCCACATTGTTGCTTGATAGTAAAAATATTAAATTGCAGAAAAAATGGTCAGTCTAGAAGGGGGCAAGAGAAAGTATGTGACTGAGCATGTCAAAACCATGTCTTGGGGAAAGCTTTCTGCAATAAACCCTACAGAAACTTCTCATAGGCATACTCTACTGCAATGTCATTACATCTTGACACGTGATTGATATTAGAAATCAAAGTTGTATTAATTACATTTGCTATCTGAAACAAGTGTTAAGGGGCAAGTAACAATGGACAGAGCAATTTCATGGAACAAAAGAGGACTGAGAATAACTTTCGTCATATGCTTCTGAGTCTTGAAACTAACCTGTAATGTGTACAACCTATCCTCAAACTGAACTTCTTTTGTCAAGAAATCAGCTCCAATTGTGGCCTTGTATTGGTTGCTAAACTTGCGATTCACATACCTAAAGTAAGTATGGAAGAAGAGTACGCAGTAAGAAGAAACCCAAAATGGAGAAGAAAATTATTTACTTTAAATTTAACAGAGAGGAATCTGAAAGTACTGGTTCATCAGAGATGTCTTTCCCACCCTACAAATGGATCAAAAGGTGAGTTAGTAACACACATTACGCGATAAAGCTGTGTACAACAACACGTAGACATTTAAAATGAAGACACATGACCCATCAGAATCAACTCATGAATTTACAGAACACAAATAATTTAAGGCTTCATCAAGAGGTATACTAAGAAAGTTCAAACAGGAATAAAAATTAAAGGAAAAAACTAACAAGTGCAAGCCATTATATCAAAATTGTTCTTTTTTAATATAAAATTACAATTTTCAACAAACAATTTTCAACCTACACCCTATCTATATATGAAACCAAAATGAATCACTATTTCACAATATATTTTCCTTAGATTCACCTTAACGCTCATACTACAGTCAATTCGTTTCAATTTCTCATCGGTTATAGAATCAATAGGGAATAGAAAGACTAAAAAGGCAAATTCAGCTGCTATAAAACGTCACCATCAATCTGAAGCTCTCCGATTTGAGACGAAATAGAATGAAACCAAATCAAACTATGCAACTTAGATTGCGGCAACCAAAACAACAAAATTGCATGAAACAACCATTACATTGGCAAAGAAACCGATGAGATCGGAATAATTAGATGAGAAATTAGGAAATACTAACCCACTATCGCCAAGGATTATGACCTTGAGCAGCATCCGCCTTCGAGAAGCCATAATTTTTTTTTGAAACCAGAAAAGCTTAAAAGTCCAATAAAGAGCAGTGATATTGAATTGAATTTCGTTTTGGTACGATCAACTTTCGAGGGAGGGGTTGGGTGGACACAAATTCTTTTGCTTGCGTAATTAGTTAAGAAAAAAATGCAAATTTTACCAGTGGCTAAAATGCCCACCTTAATAATTATTTTTATATTATAATAATAATAATAATTAATTATAAGTATATTTAAGAAACTAGAGAATTGTTTGATATGGATATGAGATGCACAAAAATTATTTTATGGATTGAGATTAGTTATCTTATCGATGATTTATATTATATAAATGATGAATAAATAATTTTGAAATTAATTAATATTCATAATTAATAAGTAGACTGATATAACGCTATATACCTAATGGAGCTATCCTATTGATAATTTATTTATATAGATGATAGCATAAATAATTTTGGAATTAATGAACATTCATAATTATAAGTAGATAGTATATAATGATATCTAACTAATAAATTACTTTTTGAGTTATAAAATTGGAGAAGTAAGAGAATCGTAGATAGGAAAAAATGGATGGAGGAATTATAATTTGTATATACTCAACCGTCACATTTTTATTGCAGCGAGGATTGTGCTTGTAAATAGGATATTCCTCTTTGTTCGTATTTTGTGCTTACACAGAACTTCCACCTAAGGCTAATTAGACCCCAAAACTTCTCTTTTTTCTTAATCAGACCCATCGAATTTCCTTCCAGTGTCTTTTTGATCCTCTGATGGCTCACTTCTGATATGGAGTGTATATGTAGAGTGCACCTTCAGCTATTTTTAATAAATTAGATGACCCAATGATATATATTATTAATTCCAAAAAGGAATTGGGTGACATCATTGTGTCAACAAATATAATGACAATCACGTTATTTGAAATTTGATTACCTGTATTCCACTGTCACTCTAGGCATCAATTTGAAGTCCAAACATTACATGCTACAACAAAGATTTGGTCAAAACAACATGAAACCAAGCTAACTATTTCATTTTATATTTCACCATGAAATATTGTAAAAGTTGAGCTCGCTGTGTTTTAATGGACTCACAGCCCCGAGCAACTGTATTTACATCAAATCAATAGATGTAAGACATGTATTTTCACACACATATTAAACATGACATGTCAACGCGGTGTGGCAAGTAATAACCAGTTTCAAGGATAAAAAAAAATATAGCCAACTTCATGGCTTCATATAATGCTTTTGATAATCCTTTCTTTACATGTAACTTTAGAGGAACTGGATATGGGAACAATACAAAATCTGCAACAGCACCTAGATCAATTGATAATTACAAAGATGAGTGGCATATGAAAGGTATGCCAAATTCACACAATTCTCTAAACACACTACCAAATCCAACAATTTCTGAGAAGAGTTCATTACATTTGCACCCTTTCGTTCGAAAAAAAAAATCACTGTTTTCTGCTTCCTAGTTGTCTTCTTCTAGTCTATTCTAATTTCTCGATGACCTTCAACACTAGAACGTGTGCCTTGAGTTGTTCTTAGGCCTTCACTACTTGAACCGGAAGGATGGGGGCCAAATTCACTGGTAGGCCCGCTGCATTCACTAGAATTATGTGCCTGGCTTTCCAGAGCCATCTTTCTAAATTTCTTAAGGTCTTCTTTGTACTGAACAGCATCAAAATCCGAGCTTCCGTAAGATTCATGTATACCACTATGTCCAGGTCTAAGTCCATTTAACTCATCCAACGGCAAATTTCCTTCTAAAGCTCTGACAATCTGCATAAGAAAAGTTCCAACACTTAATATTAAGCCAAGACAAGTATTCTTTGACAGTAAATATAGAATTGGTATAATATTTCAGATGCTTCCTCAATCCTCAAATATAGAGTAACCACCTTGGGATTGAGAGAGGTGATTATATATCCAAGTTATTTCAAATTTTCAATTGTATAGTCCAGTTTCCGTTGAGCTAACGCAAGATGAAGCAGCACTCAACAAGTTGTAAATTCCATTTGTATGGACAGTTAAAAGGTGAGTATGTTACTAAAAGGGGGTATTTTGCTTTCTTTCCAAGTAGTGTCAAGAGAAATGATAAATTGCTTTCTTGTTTTAACATCTGAAACTCAAGGAGACATTCTCAAGGAATCTCTTGTAGACTTGCTGTAATTATTAGTACCCATAAAGAACACAATGTGACATAGTGTTGTCCGAGAATTTATAAAGAACAAGGTTTGGAGTATTTGAGGAATATTCCTAAAGGACCTAGACTAGGAAAAAAAGTAAATTTACAAATATGCGCTATAACCTCCTTGTAATAAGTAATCTACATTTTGAGATGCTAATTGTGCAAGGAAACAAATAGAGGCACCTGGCACTGTGTCACACGTAGTAGCAATTGGTAGAGTGTGTGTTTAATAGAACAAAAAATGTTCTTTAGGCGACAAGTATCAGACACCAGTTTAGGTGTCAGAGGGGTACAACTAAAAACTATTTCGGGCAGAAAAGAAGCAAAAAGACTCGAATATAAATCATTACAACCTTTTGTCACAAGAGGAATTTAACCTTACTTCTAAGTTCAGACAGTTCCTTTCCACATGCAAATCTAAAGGTAGTCATGCAGCTACAGTGTATGTATAAAATAGAGGTTTTACAATTAGAAGGTACCTGACTCATACGAGGCCTGCGACGTGCTAGATGGCGCACACACACAGCAGCACAAGTGACCATTCTGGTCATTTCAGTCAAGTCATAATTCTTGTCCAATCTTGGATCAGCCAGAGTATCAAAGTTGCCATCATCCAGAGCCTGGGTAAGCAAAGGCCTCGCCTAATTCAATGAGAGAAGTGTTAGTTTTTTCGGGGGGGGGGGGGGGGTTTACATACAAAGAATGATATGCACATGCACATGAAAATCTCAACCACATCCAGTTGTCCTAGATTATTGCATCACTTACAAAAACAACTTACCCAATCAACAATGTTATCGTCAAGGTAGGGTTGAGCTTTATCAATCGGCCGTCTTCCAGTTATAATCTCCAAAAGCATGACTCCAAAAGAGAAGACGTCAGACTTTTCAGTAAGCTTCCCCGTAAGAGCATACTCAGGAGCTAAGTACCTGCAAAAGGTAGAAGTTAGTGAAAGAAAAAATATGGAGAGCTCAAAGATAAACATAAAACGTAAATGTATTGGGATTAAATATTGATTCAATGTGCTATAGCAACTGCAGAATAATACTGCATGAGGATGGAAAAAGAAACGTCTTCAATACATGATAAAAGAGTATTACCCAAAAGTTCCCATTACTCGTGTGGAGACGTGAGTATCAGAGTCATAATTCAACCTTGCAAGCCCAAAATCAGCAACCTGGATCACAAATAACAAATGCATCTAGCAATCAACTTATATGTAAAAGAAGAAAAAAAAGAGGTGTTCATTCAGCCAGCACTAAACCGCAGCAGCAGCCACACAAGATTACAGAAATTCAGATCATATTTGATGGCCTGGGTTTTCGAAAATCATTACAACTTACTAAAAATAAATTCAGAAAATACAAGTCCAAAGAATTTGAAGGAAAAAAGAGCAAGCACGCTTGTTTCTGTTTCTTACTTTAGGTTGAGAAAACAAATCCATAGAAGATAGTCAGATACTTTCCACTTCATATCAGGTCCCACCAACGTTTGGTGTCAAATGCCGTAATTCTTGCTTAATAATGTACCCAATTAAAACGTTGAGGTTTCAAAAAGAGAACCATATGCCAGGTTTTTGAAGCTGTCAACTCATATATGAATATGATGTCTATCAGTCTATCATTAATAATTCATCTTACTGTAATTATAATAAACAAAGCTTGACGGCAGTTATTTCACTGTTTATCTTTTTTGACCTTGGTAACTTTGGCAGTTATTGACTTATTTCACTGTTGTCAATCGAAGTTCCAAGGTAAACGAAGGAAAGAAAAAGCTCAGCCTTGATTGCCCCCTGGCAGGATAAAATTGCATTAAGGATTTAAGGACACAGTTGCCTTAGGCATTCATGCAGTTAGAAAAGGAATAATCGTCACCAAACCCCCAAACTGTATCTTCTATTATTGTAGGGGTGTCTATTATAAGTAGCCCGGTCATTCTCCACATATATAAAGCTCTTGCTTTCTAAAGTAGATGATAGTGGAAAATGAAAAGGGCATGCTTTACCAGAAACATTAAGAAAACAACTGCAGATTGATGCACACACTATACACACAGAGATGCAGAATTGTCCATTTTACCTTTGCATCAAAATTGTCATCAAGAAGAATATTGGAGGCCTTGATATCGCGATGTATGATCTTGGGATGACCTGCCAAGACAGACGAATTTCAACATATTCAAATGCAAAATCATGAATTCTGCCGACTTAAACAAGAAAGGTAATATTAATTAGTAGAATTCTGCCACTCATGAACATACATTCTTCATGCAGATATGCCAATCCTCTTGCAGAACATAAAGTAACTCTCATCCTAGTTTCCCAGCTTAGTGGGGGATGCTCCTTGCCTGCAGTTATGTCTCCTTTTTATTTGTATTATAATGTCAGGTAAAAGAAGTATCAATGTCTGAATATTAAAAAGGTAAAAATTAACATAGTCAACAATTCATGATAAAGAAAACATTCAACTATCGGGCAACAGCCATGGCCAGATAGACAACCAAGGGTATAATAATGCATCAAGATTACTAGTTACTTAGAACTCACACTTGGAAAGAACAAGAAAATTGCAGTTTCTCTCTGACTTCTCTAGGGATTTCTAAAAAGATCAAATGACGATTAAGCTCAACAATAAGAGATACCTAACCAGGAACTGTGTCTAAAACATAATAGAGGAAAACAAGGAATTGGGAAGGAAAGAAACAGACTGATTTGGAATATATACTTCACAAGTCTCATTCAAAAAATAACAAAATAAATTTAACAAAAGGCTAAAACTCGAAGGAATTGGTATGACAAAGTTAGACTTGTTTGTTGTAGCTTTGGAACTGGACTGTTAGTGTGAATATGCCAATTTCTTCTTCAACTCACATGTCAATTTGAAGAACATTAGGAAGCAACCTTTTTTCCATTCTTCTCTTTCTCCTTTAGAAAACATAGTTTGGGTAAAGGGGCACAAAGAAGTGCACCGCACAAAATTTCCCACAAGGCAAGGAAATCAATGTATATCCTTGGTAATCTAAAAAAAGGGGGCACACAACCTCATTGGGAATGGAGAAAGAGTGTGTACCCCTTACCCTTCAACTCCCTTCCTTTGAACAAACTAAATGATTAGTGCTCTTTTACACACATCATAATTTGGTCATTTGTAACACCTGAACATCAGCAAGAAAGTTTTGTCCTTTTTGTGAATTCAATTTTAAATCATGTGGTACGTAACTCTTCTGCTTCAGGAAAAAAGTTTAAAATACTAAATAAAAGCAAGAAAATCTTTGAATACTGAATAAGACAGGAAAATCAATGAATATGAACACCCAAGCCCCTTACCCTTTAAATCCCCTTCTAATTAAGCTTAAATTTAGATCATATGGTGAGGACAACTTCTGCACCATTAAATGATTGCGAGGAAGCTCTCGGCTCTAATAAAAGCAAGCATGACAGCTGAAAGCAGTCTATGCCAAATTGCAGAAGACAAACTATCTAAATACTCTGAGAACTTACCATGCAAGTGGAACTCCAAAGTTTTGTTTGGGACAAATTCATAAACTAACAGCCGCTGCACCCCTGAAATGCAGTGTCCAACCAATGAAACAAGATGCTTGTGATGAACGTGGCTAATAATCTCCACCTCTGCTTGAAATTCACGCTCCCCCTGCCCACTTCCAGCTTTAAGTTGCTTAATGGCAACCTCCTTCCCATCACGGAATACTCCCTTGTATACATATCCAAAACCACCTTGACCAAGGAGGTTGGAAACAGAGAAATAATCAGTAGCAAATGCTAATTCTTGATAGGTGAATGTAGTTCTCGAGAAACTCGAGCTGGAATCAGGGGTTGTTTGTAGAAAAGGTTTGTCAGTACTCAAGTTACTGCCAGTGGAAGGTGGCAGTGAAGGAGTACATCCATCTGCTGCAGTTACTTGTGGAACTGATGTAATGGATGGTGGAGGGGAGGGATTTATTGGAATCCTCACCATGTTTTCTGTTGAGGGAGGAGCATTTTGTTGCCAGTGATGATGTTGACCACCAAACAAATTATCTGAGCATGAAACCATATTATGTAAATGATGATGCTTATAATGATGATCTAATAGTAATAATAACAGTAGAAGGTCATCATGTGTGTGTGTGTGTATATCATAAATTTTTAAACAAAAATAATTGTGGCCCCTCCTCCCCAAAGGAAAAGGCAACTACACACAAACAATCCCCAAAGGAAGAAAGCCAAGTTTCAACTGCAATTGATACTGTATATAAGAGAACAACGCCGCCAAGCAATTTAGCACTTTTAGTTTTTTAGCTTCAATTACTTACTTCCACGCTGTTACTTCTGGATATACTAATTCGTTAAAGAGTACTATTTAACAGCAAAATAATGTGGTAAAGCTGAAATGCAATAATTTTAAATCTGAAGTGCTTCTTCTGAGGCCATTGGAACACAAAATATCCCCCTCACCGCCACTACTACTAATTTCCCCAAGAGAATCAGAAATTTGATGGACTGACGCTTGAATCTTCGTTCTGTTCTTAATAATCATCAACTCAATAAAATAACACAAAACCAGTTCACTTAATTGATAGTTCCTTGGATAAGAAGGACAAAATTCAAAAGATCTCATTATCACTAACCAACCAAGGACATGGCTGAAAAATTAAAATACCAACTGTAATAAGTAATAAAACAAGGAGCTCCATTTGGGGTCACTGATACACCGAAGAACATGACAATATCATATCAGTAAGGTCTGTAAGGTGCATAGCAACATAACGTGTTACAAGTATGACTACAAATTCAAAATTTTAAAATCATATGAAACAGAATCTCTGTTTTAAAATAGACGCTAGGGAACAAATACTCAAAGGTGCCAACAACTAAAATCCAAATTTATATTCAATTCAGCAAACAAATCATTAAAAAAATACTACTTGCTTACGATCAGACTAGAATTAAATTATTCAACATGACTTCAGACCCAAATGACCCCAATAAATGATAAGGAAAATTAAGGAACAGTGAGGATGCAAGAACACTTTATTAAATCTGTATTGAACACCAACTCAACTATTTAAAATTGCAATAAAAGGAAAAAAAATAAACTAAGCCCAAATGGTCATCAAAATCCAATATAAGAAGAAATAATCACAAAGATTTCACCTTTGGGAGCTTGTGATGGATCATGACCAAAACCATTTAGCCCAAGACGCCTTTTTCTCCTCTTATACCAAAGTGCAAAAATGCACACACATATAAGCACAAGTGCTCCTCCAATCCCAATTCCAACTCCAAGTGCTACTAAAGTTGTACTATTCGATGACCCATTCGACGGAGCACTCGTGGGAGAGCTTCCATTAATCGATGAGGGCGGCGGATTTAACAAGGTCGCCGGAGAAGGCTGACTAGCAACATCTGGAGACGGAGGAGTAGTACTTGGGTTCACCGGAGATGTTGGAGTAGTTGCATTATCCGCCGGAGGAAACGGCAACGGCGGAACCAACGGCACTCCGGGGAGCCCAGTAGACATTACCGGAGTTCACTTTTTTCTTTAAGACTAGTGTTTTTCAGCAGTTTAAAACCAAGATCTTGAAATTCTCTAGGTTTTTTTTGAGTGGCGTGAAGAATCAGAGTGGACAGTTGAAAGAGCACCAAGACAAACAGGTTTAAGACACAACGGAGAAACGTGAAACAGTGAAGAAGATGCAGAAAAGGAAAATGTTGAATGAAACGACGTCGTAGTGGTGACCTTTAGCCAACTTGCACAATATAGAGCACCTGCCTTTATTAAAATACGTGGACAAATTATCATCGTTTTTAGCCTTAAATCGATTATATTTTAAAGTTGTGCGTATATTTTGTTTAGAAATTTTCTGATGCCACATATGACTTGTCTTTGATAACAAATACTTTGAAGCATGTTGTTTGGGGTCTTTAGATAAATGACGATGCAAGAATTATCGCTGAAAAAGAAAATAAAAAAGGTAGAATCAAGAAAAAAATATATTCAAATAGGAAAATAGATCCCCGCGCGTGATTACGGCATGTGATTAGAGCTTTTGTTTAGCTTTCACATAAGTTTTATACGGCTTTTACATACTCCTGTGAAATAATTGTAAGTTTCAAAATTTTACCATAAACACATTACATGTTTATCTATTTTTTTTATAATAATTATTATTATTATACAGTTTTATTCTTTTAATTTTAGTGTTACATGTTGTCACTTTATTGATACTGTTTTATTCGTCCTTGTCCTTTGTGTACTTTTTTTTTTATATGAAATTCATTGGTGTTATCCTCTGAATATGTATTTGTTCTCGCACAATACTCACAAACGCGAATAAGAATCGGACTAGGTAAATTATGTTTGAAATATATTTAAATATTAATAATAATATTAAATTTTGAAAATAAGTTTTTATCCCTTACACTGTAATCATATATTTTAAAGGTTTATATGTGTTCACGTAGATATAAAAGATACTGCATAATTATAAATAGTAATATATCCACGTGAATATATACATACCTTTAAAATACACTATTAAATATTGTAAGGGTTTTATATAATAGCAGCAATTTCAGCTAAAGTTAAAATGATCTGTTTTTATTCCAAAAGTAAAGATAAGATTATATTCACACCATTTGTTTTGAATATATAAAAATAAGATTGTGTACATACTACTTCTCTAAACCCTTAATACGCACTAAACATGTTATAATTTATAGTTATTATAAAACATAATCTTGGTTACATAACAAGTTAAAAAAAATTAACAATATGAAAATTATTTACCATTGTATATACGAAATGGTTCTTTTCCTAACAAATTGAGTTTTTATTGATAGTAGTAGATTACAGTTGCCTTTAGAAGGCTTCTTGGTTTCTGTCGAGTTGGTGAACGACCATGAACCTTCACCAAGAAGATATCTGTAGCCTTTTATTCTCTTGTAATTTTGCAGGGTGCAACTTCTTTTTTTTTCATTTTCCCAGGCACATGTTTCATTTTATAAATATTTTAAGTCTAATTATTCAGGTGTTGTTTAATATCTTAATATTTATAATACAAATTTTAATTATCAAGCATCGCTACAACAATTTATATTGAGTCTAAATAGTTAATATTTCATGTGTCCCTAATTACTTGTCTACTTTCAAATTGATATATATATATTGAGAAATCAATAATTGATATAGTGGGTTTATCAATTTAATCTTATTAATTATGAAGTTGATGAATTAAAAATTTAATATTTTTAAAGCAAAAACTTCAATTTTTTTCAAAGTAATTAATTGAGAGTATAGTAAGTAAAAAAAATATCCTTTTTTGATTTGTAAAATGTACAAATAATTAGGAACAATTAAAAAAATGTGAACAAGTAATTAGGGACAAATGAAGCATGTAATAAAAACTATTTAATACCATTGAGATGTTTATTTAATACTTTTTTTGTTCCTAATTACTTGTCCACATGTTCTTTTCTTAATTGTCCATTTTGATAAATTAAAAAAGGATAAAAAAAAAATTAGTTATTATACTCTCAATTGATTATTTTGAAATATGTAAAACTTCTTGAAAATCTAAAATATTAAATTTATCTACTTCGTAATTAATAAGAGTAAAATGATAAACTCACCATATCAATTATTATTTTCTTAATATGTTTGTTAATTCAAAAGTAATTATGGATTTAAAAAACATTGTTAAAGGCTTTTGGGCATTGTGCTTATATTTTGTGATAGGATCAAAAGATTTAATGTGTGCCGTTTGATATATTTATGAGAAGAAGACGGGGTCATTTATCAATGTCTTTATATATTTGTCAATTTTGATATTCATTACGCTTGTTCATGAATGGCTTCATCAAATATATATCATTGAAATTAAGCCAATACATAGTTATAATTGATGGATTTTTAAAAATTTATTATTTAGTATGTGTTTGATATGAGGAAAATATTTTTCAATTTTCTTATATTTGATTTGATAAAATATTTTTCAAATCAATTCATTTTTCTCAAATTTTTTAAAAAATACTTTATTTTGTAAAAACAAGAAAAATATTATCCAAAATTCTCTTCAAATTTCATATTTACAATTTTTTTGTCAAGATAATAAATTTAAAGTTTACACTTTAAAGATATTTTCATCTTCATTTTATTTTTATCTTTTACCCCATTCCCCCCCAAAAAAAAATATGAATTATAATTTGTTTTCATAATCCCCTTACCAGCCCCAGTCCCACCCCACCCCCACGAAAAAAACAATTTAAATTTATTTTTAAAAAATTATTTTCAACTTCAATTTTTATTTATTTATCTCACCTTCATCCGTACATCCTCCCCTCCAAATAAAATTGAAGTTTGTTTTTAAACAAATACTTTCAATTTTTAATTTTTATTTTTTACCCTCAAACCCGCCAGCACTCCTATCACCCCTTTCCCTCCTCCCAAAAAAATGAAGTTTGCTTTTAAAACATATTTTCACCTATAAAATTTTATTTTTTCATTCCACGCCATGCCTACCCGTGTCACGACCGGAATCTAGACCCCAGACGAGACCGGCATCGTTGACCTCTCAGAGGTCGCAGACAAGCCTGCTTACGTCATTCTTACTTTACATAGATTAATTTTAGCGGAAAATTTGAAATTTTTGATTCTTTAATCATAATTGCTGAACATTCTTAACTTTTCGTAATCGTTCATCATCAACCATCTAACATTTAAGAGAGAAGCAACTGAAAGTAATAATTCATTAAGTATTAATTGTATGTCGGCCACAATAGCACCAATACAAAGTTTGAACCAAAACAGGAAAGAAACGCTAGTGGAACATGCTCCACTAGCTCAACTCTAAAACTACGCTAGATTGTAAAACAGTAGCATCCTCGAAAGCATGAGGACCTACCAAACTCCGGATGAATACTGACGTCCGGATAGCTGCAACAACGAACCTGTAGCTCTAGCGTCCACCTGTGCCTGCACCTAAAAGTAAATGTTCGTATGGAATTAGTACACACTTGTACTAAGTATGGGTATATGCAAGTACACACCAGGGACATACATGAGAAAGAATAGCTCTTTCCTAACAACATGATTTTTGGAAGTCAAGTCAGTGGACTTGCCAAATTGAGATTGGGAAAGTTATGCCATGAGAGTGACATGCATCATTATAATTATCGTATGGCACACAAAACATAACATATTCATATAGCACATAACATATAACACATACTTTCTCTCATATTATTCATTCGTATACCATGAGACCTTATTATCATAGACTTAACTTTAAGACTTTCCAAAATGAGGGCTCAACATATGGGACCTCAACTAGGGAGCCTTCTTTAGCAAACACAGAGTCTGCTTCACTCATTCATTCGTATTTCATTTCAATTCATTCATAGGCCAGTGCGAACACCAGCTATACCTAGGATGTAGTTTAAGACTTTCATCGGGTTTGTTGTGCAATGATCAGGAATGACCTAATGTCATTACCTAATCTAGCTCACCTCTTGATTATCCTATCCTAACACCTTCGGTATCATTCATTTCTTTATATGATTCATTTGAGGCTGGCCTCATTCATTCATTGGGAACTTTAACTTTAACCGACATAGATCATGTGAGCATCATGAAATCCAGTGTCTTCCCCACACCGAAAAGAGGTGGAATCACCGGCCAAAGCGATTCAAATAACATGCTAGCGTATATGGGAATTTAACCCCGCCAGATCCCTATAGTGGCAATATAGGTTCAAAGACTAGGAGATGTGTGGAGACCCATACCCGGCAAGCCGGACAGTCTCATCTCATGAGAATTACGTGAACCTCCGCCCTTCCCGAAAGAAGGCATCACCACTCATAGCTAGTCTATCGGTGCTCGGTATAAAGTTCCATTACATGCAACTCATACATCATAGAAGTTTGCTTCTAGTATGAAGACATCATAGCTCAATAGATGATTTCTCATCTCATCATTAGTATTAAGTGTTTTAAACTCAATATTTTTATTAGAGTATTCATAGAGACTGGTCTCTTCATTATCTTACACTCTCATTGGTGAGTATGTATCGGTAACATTTTCTTAAGCTCATTTAAGATTGCTCTCATCATATGCATTAACCTCACATCATGATTGTCACCACATTCTTTATTTCATTACGTATATCTTAGGTTCACTTATTCTTGAACGTATGTTAAACTTATACATCTATACATACAAGCCATGAGGCTTCATTTATAGTTCGTTAAGTGAATTCTTGTTTTTCTGAGATTATGTATTACAAGACTTATGTATCTTGTATATATGTCAGGATCTTTGATTTTTTATCTAAGTAGATGACATTATTCTTGAATATTTCACTCACGTATGACTTATGTATCAATACGGAGGTTTGGACACGAGAACCCAAATTTTGAATTATTTGGATATCATTTATATTTTTCATTGATTTTTGTTCTAATATTCATAAATTTAGAACTCTAAGTTAAGTCTCAACATTTTCGTGAAATAATAAATTTTCTATTTTAATTAGAATTCTAAATTAGATTTCAATCATTTACATGAAAGAATAATTTTCTAATTTAATTAGAATTCCAATTTAAATCTCAATATTTACATAAAAGAATTAATATTCTATTTTTAATTAAAATTCTAAATTAAATCTCAATGTTTACATAAGAGAATTAATTTTCCAACTTTAATTAGAATTTTAATTTACTATTATTATTATTTTTAATTAAATTCACTTGAATAGGGAGGTTGTG